TCTTGAGTACCGTCCCATGCAGGGGCGGACTGGGACTAAAATTCAGCCCTGGAAACTGACCCAGTCCGGCCACATGAAATATCAAATGTTAGAAATTCGCTGTTTATTATTTAAAGTTTTACGTCCGATTCGCTCCTTTTTTCCTCTCTGTGCACAGCTCCAGTTTGGGCATTGGCCTGTCATCAGATTACATTTTTAGTTGCTGCTGTAGCGGAAGTTTAGTACAATTATTTTTTGATGAAATTCTCCACCCTCCATAATTGCAATTGCTTCAGTTGCTTACTACTTTTTAAGGGTGGTGATGACAGTTACAGTACGAACTGAAGTTGATGCGATTTGATTGGATTGTGAGGCATGACGTGAGCCTCATCTGATTGGTCAATCCCTCCATTTCTTTTCAACAAGGGAAGCCAATTTTGGCTAGCCTCCTCTCGCAACAGAGTGCAATACTGTTTCATCATAACATCTAGAGGGGCGCTGTTTCACTCTTTGTAAAATACTCAAAGAGAATGGGGGAGAGATGGGCCGGCGGAATAATTACCGAAACTAAACAAAGTGTTTTTATTTATTTATTAAAATTATAACTACAATCCAAAAAAACAGGGGAAGCCTGGCTTCCCTTGGCCTCCAGGAGAAAACGCCACTGAGTTCAAGGGATAATTCTCACCCACCTCTTGCTCTTGCCCTGCACGTGTATGTGCCAGTTGAGCTGGTTCTTCCACCAGCTCAACTCTCTGTCCCTCATCATGAACGCAGGAGGCTGGCTGTATATCTGAACTCACACCCTCATCATTCTCTTCATCATCTTGCACTTGTTCTAAGCTGCTGCTGATAGTGCTTGTAGCAGCGCTGCTGCCAAAAGGTCTGTCAATTTGCGACATTTATATGCTTCACCTGCGAGTGACTTCACCTTTTTCTCTCTTGCCTTCTCGGCCCCACCTTTTTATTTTTTTATTTTTTTATTTGTATCCATGTTTTTTCATTCTCCCTGTCTGCCGCGGCGTCTAATCCCTTCTCTTCGTGTAGCCGGTCTTTTTTCTTCTTCGTGTGTGATTATTTGACAGATAAGAACCACACAACTGCATTAGCGGCCTCTGTCGGCCGTCAGTGCAATTTAAATGATGACGTTAAACTATTTTTTTTTTTTTAAAGGGCCGGCCGGCCGTTCTGTGGTTCTCCAGATTCTACAGATGGCCAGTCCGCCCCTGGTCCCATGGCTCTTATTTCTGCCGGAGGACCGAGGATCGAGGAGCGAGGAGCGATAATGGAGGAGCTATAATCGAGGAACCACCAGACCATCCTCCGATGAAATCCTCAGACACCCGCCCCGCCCCCTTACTTTGTATCGCTCACTGATTGGACGATGCAGTGCATGAGAGCAGTTTCCCAGCGGAGTGAAGAAAACACATGAACCTCACGAGAGTCACTCCTCAGTTTACTGTGTTTTGTTTCAATTCATGTATCATTTAGTTACAAATATGTGATATATCTGAACAACAAAGTGGTCAAAAATCATTTTATTCATTTATTGGAAACATTTTCATGATCGCTTTTTTCATTCATTTATTGTCATTTCCATTCAGTCAGTCATTAAGTGCTATTCAAATGTTAATGTGCTACATATCCACACAAACAAACAAAGTGTGCAATCCAATGAATGTTAATCTAACTGGGTTTTGATAGATAACATATCTCTTTTTCTTCTCTCAATTATTTTATTTCTATTGTGCACTCTAATCAATATTAATCAAACTATTGTTCGTTTATACATTTTAAGAATGGCGTTTATCTTTTTTGAGAATGAGTTCTTATTTGATTTTATTTATTGAGGTCTACAACAGATGATACAAATGTTTGTGTCAGTAAATGTGTGGCGGGGGTGTTTATGAAAATAATGGGGACAGAGCTGCTGTCAGACGAACAGCTGTGCTGCGTCATCACAAACGGACGTCGCTTCACGTGACGCTCCGGAGGAAAGGACGTCCCATTGCTCTTAAAACTCATTTCCCTGCTTCTCGTGGTTTCCTTGCGTCCCTCCATGCTTCCCTGGTGGGAGGGACTAAACACAGGGAAACGACGCAAGTGAGGGAAGCAAGGATTTAATTTAACCGACCTGAGACGGGGCCACGCCAGCCATTGGAATGAATGGTGAAAAAAAACGGGGTTTGTCAAACAGAGTACATGGTGTAGTCCAAACGATAGCTGGGGATTCTGGGTAGTGTAGTGTCTTCTGCCATCCTTTACTCCGAAAAAACATTTGTTTCTCCGAATCGAAGGGGAAAAATACAAAAGCATTGCACACAATTTAAACCAATCAATGTTGTGTAATTAACAAGGATAATCTGGTGTACTTACTTCCGGGTGTACAATTCTCCGTTATCCAATGGGAATGGACGCTCACATTGCCTTTAAGGGCAGCCGACACAAACGAATGCCGTGCTTCCATGAGCGTCAAATCCCGCCGCAGATGGGAATACATTGCAATCAGTTGAAAGCTATTTGCGTCCCTTTATGACGCTGAAGGAGCCTAGGAGCGTCACAACTGGACGCCACGGACACTGACCAAACGTCGCTCCTGGACGCTTAGGAAGTGAGAGTGTGTTGGTCAAGAAGCATCAGATCAGTGCATGCACTGCCTCGTCCAATCAGTGAGCGATACACAGTAAGGGGGCGGCGCGAGTGTCTGAGGATTTCATCGGAGGATGGTCTGGTGGTTCCTCGATTATAGCTCCTCCATTATCGCTCCTTGCTCCTCGCTCCTCGCTCCTCGCTCCTCTGGCAAAAATAAGGCCATTGGGACGCTACTCAAGATGGCGCAGACAAATCAACTTCCGGTGAGACCGAGGACCGAGGAGCGAGGAAATGAAAATAGTCGACCTGAGACAGGGCCAAGGAAACCACGAGAAGCAGGGAAATGAGTTTTAAGAGCACGTGAAGCGACATCCGTTTGTGATGACGCTGCACAGCTGATCGTCTGACAGCAGCCAGCTCTGTCCCGTTATTTCCACACACACCCCCGCCTACACATTTACTGACACAAACATTTGTATCATCTGTTGAAGACCCAAATAAATAAAATAAAATAAGAACTCATTCTCAAAAAAGATAAACGCCATTCTTAAAATGTATAAACGAACATTAGTTGGATTAATATTGATTAGAGTGCACAATAGAAATAAAATAATTGAGAGATATGTTATCTATCAAAACCCAGTTAGATTAACATTCATTGGATTGCACACTTTGTGTGTTTGTGTGGATATGTAGCAAATTCACATTTTAAATAGCACTTAATGACTGACTGAATGGAAATGACAATAAATGAAAATGTAAAACGAAAAAAGCGATCATGAAAATGTTTCCAATAAATGAATAAAATGATTTTTGACCACTTTGTTGTTCAGATATATCACATATTTGTAACTAAATGATACATTAATTGAAACAAAACACAGTATAAACTGAGGAGTGACTCTCGTGAGGTTCATGTATTTCTTTACTCCGCTGGGAAACTGCTCTCATGTCAAGAAGCATCAGATCAGTGCATGCACTGCATCGTCCAATCAGTGAGCGATACACAGTAAGGGGGCGGGGCGAGTGTCTGAGGATTTCATCGAAGGATGGTCTGGTTTTGATTGATTGATTGAAAAGTTTATTAACAGCTTGTATATTGGGTACAGTACAGTACAGCTCAAAACATACAATTGTTAAGGGGATGCAGACCAGAGAAAGACTTTCGTCTTGTTTACATCAGGGTCCCCCATTTCCAATTCATCATATCATTTAAGACATATAAGACATATTTGACATACAGATGGCTTATTTACAATTTACATACAGGTGTTTTTTTACATACAGATTGCTTATTTACAATTTTCATTTTAGATTTCGTTCTAATACATCCTAACCGGACATTTAAGACATGGTGGTTCGTCGATTATAGCTCCTCCATTATCGCTCCTCGCTCCTCCGGCAGAAATAAGGCCATTGGGACGCTACTCAAGATGGCGCAGACAAATCAACTTCCGGTAAGACCGAGACCGAGGAGCGAGGAAATGAAAAATAAGAGAAGTGAGAAAGGGCCTTCTTCTTCTTCTTCTCTCGTTTTTTGGCGGATTGCAAACAACTTTAAAGGTGCATACCGCCACCTACTGTACATGAGTATGAATCATCATATCAATCCATCTCTTAACCTACGATCTCATAATTGTTTTTTTAAATCAACAAAAAAAACATGAAATAAATAAAATAAAATCTATGATCTTTCCTGACCGAATGTTACATTATTATTCCTACCCCAGTTTCACTCAGGAAGGTAAACAGTGCCTTTCTGGTAGCTCTTACTCCCTCTCCTTTTGTTCCCAAAACACCAACCACACTCCATTCTCTCTCTGCCTGTAAAACTTTAGCCTTTAGTTTTTCTCTTTCAGCTTTATAGATGTCACAGTGTAACAAGATATGTTCTACATCTTCTTTTACTCCACAGTTCCCACACTTGTCACTGTCACTTTTCCCCATGAATACAGCGTACCATTCAAAGCTGTGTGATTTATTCTGAGTCTAGCTATCATGATTTCCTTCCTTCTGTTTCTTCCTTTATACATATTAATTGTAATTGTCTTTTGTGCAACAAGCAATCAGGAACACAGGTGGCATAACATGTGTGATATGCGCATGCATAAATGTATTTCCCCTCAACAAATATATACTATTCACTGGCGTTGTATAACAGCAGCAATTTACGATTTGCTCACCTGCAGCCAGAAGGTGGGGCACCAATATATTATAATACATTGAGGCCATGCAGCTATAATAATGATTTTAGCAAATCACCGTGTTTTGCATTTATAATAAAAATAATAAATAAACAGGCAAATATAACATCAAAAAGATACAAGGATACTAAATAATCACAATACAAATCTATATAATAAAAACATTTTCTGTGGTTCTTGGCTGACAGTGAGTACAGCGGAACTATTGCTCCCTAGCTCCGTGACCAAGTCGGACACATTCAAAGGTGCACCACCAATGTCAACTTCACATCGACATTACTGACCTGACCTCATGTTTTGTAATAACATTGAAGGTACTGCTTCATGAAGTAGACAGAGGACGCGTTGAAGAGATTATACCCTGGAACATTTTCACGTTTTGTATAGTGTTTCTGTTCTTGTGACTCTGAGCGGACAAGATGCGCCTCACGCTGCAGTTGTTGATCTCCCACGGCCGGGTGGCCCGGAAGATGGGTCTGGGTCCGGAGTCCCGGATCAACATGCTGCGGAACCTTCTGACAGGACTGGTCCGGCACGAGAGGATCGAGACCACCGCGGCCCGAGCAGATGAAGTCCGCTTCTACGCTGAAAAGGTACCGACCAGGACATGCTAACATTGCTAGCTGCCAAATAAGCTAATGTTACTGTACTTTGAGCACAACAAATGTGTCAAATGTAAATAATGTAATCATGACATGCACATTTCGACCTCTGTTGCTGCAAAGGATCAATATGCACCAGCTATTTAGAGTGAAAAAACACTGATATAGTAGAAATAAGGGGACCTGAGTTAATGTCAGGCTAACATTTAATAAACCTCTGGCATTATTTAATGTTAAAATGATTTAAAGTGTACATTACAATTAAGTTTAATTGAATATCTTTAACAAATTGAGTTATAAAACAACATACTTCGTTGGCCTTCCTAGGACATATAATAATAATAATAAATGATATATGATATTTATATAGCGCCTTTCAATGGACCCAATGTCGCTGTACATGGTGGACAAACAGACAATCAAAGGGCAAATAAAAAATAAAGGAAGCCGGGGGACCAAGAAATGGCCAGGGTGAACAGGTGTGTTTTTAATGATGATTTAAAGATGTCCAGGGAGGCAGCATTACGGATCTCGGCAGGAAGTGCATTCCAGAGGGTGGGGTCCGCAACACTGAACGGCTTGTCACTATCAGTTCGGAGGCGAGAGCCGGGGATGGAGAGCAGGCTCCGAGAAGGGGTGTAGGGATGGAGGAGGTCCGATAAGTACTGGGGGGTGAGGGTATGGAGGGACTTGTACGTGAGGAGCAGTGTTTTGTATTGAATCCGGGACTTGACCGGCAGCCAGTGTAGGTGGATGAGGGTGGGGGTGATGTGTTGCCATGGCTTGGTGCGGGTGAGAAGCCTGGCAGCAGAGTTCTGGATGTATTGGAGCCTGTCCAGGGTTTTGCTGGGAACCCCGGACAGGACTCCATTGCAGTAGTCCAGACGGGATGGGATGAAGGCGTGTACAAGTGTTTCTGCCACAGAGTCAGAGAGTGAAGGCCAGAGTGAAATAAACTGGGGTTTTAAAAGGCAAATGGACCTTATGCAATATTTATGTTATAGGAACAACATTTATTTCTGTCTCCTGATGTCATGGTCAAGAGATTAAGATATATAGAGAGAAAAAAACACTAACAAAACAGCCCTTCAAAATTCAAAATGGCTGCAAAAAAGTTAAAGATATAACATATTTTAATATTGATACACAAATATGCAAATTCAAATACAGCATGATATCACATCAAAAACCTTATTGGAGGTGTGAGGGTTGCATGATTTATTTTGTTTCTATAGTCTCAGTTTTAATCTAAAATCTTCATCCCACAATGTCTAACTTTATATAAACAAGAGTATTTTTTATATAAATACGGTTTTAGATGCAATATATTCAGATTTTAATTATACACACACACACACGTCCTGACTGAATGCGTTTCTTGTTTTTGTTTGTTCCAGCTGGTTGACTATGCCAAAAAGGGAGACACTGATGAGAAGGCGATGAAAATGGCCAGTTTTTGGCTCACGGTACGTGCAGCTCTTCTCAACTTTGTGAAGTGACAAGCTGTTTCACTCTATATGTAAAACAGTTCATCTGAAGTTGTGTTTTTCGTGTTTGCTGCTCTTTAGGAAAAGGATCTGGTTCCAAAGCTTTTCAAGGTCTTAGCTCCACGGTTTGAGCCTCACTCAAATGGATACACACGGATGGCACGCATCCCAAACAAGGAGAACCTGGACAAAGCCAAGATGGCCGTCCTGGAGTACAAAGGCAACCCCTTCCCGCCTCTGTATCCTGTGAAAAAGAAAAACGAACTGGCACTCGTCAACCAGCTTCTCAAAGGCTACAGAGAGGAGAGGGCAAAAGCTTGATCCTGGATCAGTGATGTGCTGACGGATGATGGTCGGGTGAAATGCTTTCAGACGCTGCAGGTTATAGACACTATTTCTTCCCCAAAAACAGTTCCAAAGCTCCTGTGTCAATGTAAGCCAATGACATTTCTGTAAATGGACGATTATTACTGATTATGTATAAATAAATATTATTTCTTAAGAGAAGGAGATTTGCATAATCATTTGAACAATATCTGGGCAACGCAACATCAGTGCAGAAGAGAAAATAAATAGTTATCACTAAAGCCTTCTTCACACAGCGGCCTGGGTCTGAAACCAACCTGTTGCACTTTGCTCTCTGTCATATGTTCACTTCTCCACTTTCCAGTCTATCCAAGTTAGGGTAGTTCAGTCAGACAACTCACGTGTTCCTTTAACATGTTTATTAGAAGCAGCATATAGTTGAGTTTGGCGACTAGGCTCGGGCCTCATCACTCCAGAGATATACATAGCACGATGAGTGATGATTAAATAACTAACCCCCGAGCCTACAGGTGGAAGCTGGGGTGGAAGCTGGGGTGGTGGTGGGGCAGCAAGCAGCAGCGACGTCGAGGTAGCTGCAGCAATAGCAGCAGCAAGCAATGCATGGAGAGAGATCTGGCAGGTTAAATAGAGCGGCATATTAAGGAGACTCTGTTTGGTTGGTTGTAGAGTGGCAAGGGGCGTTATGTATGAATGCAGATAAGTGCTCGAGGTGACTGCCTGAACTAGCTCGCAGGCTTCGCCCCATTTATGAGACAGAAAAAAAGGTGATCAAAGCAGCAGAGAAAGAGACATCCTGACCTTTCCTTATTGTTGGTCAACATCAGATCATACATCTACTGTAATGCAACTGCATAGCCTTTCTTTTTTAAATAAAGTCCACCTGTTTTTTTCTACATCTCCATTCAGAAAGAAAAGCCCTCAGTTTAACTCGGTGGATTCTGCAGAAACCCTTTATAAGTCGATGTGTGCATGTGAAGGGTCTTCTCTGTAATACATTGTGCCGTGTTCTTATTGTGTCATCCATCCACAGAAACACCTTACGATATGTATTTTAAAAACAAAAATCAAAGACGGTAATCCCATATTATCAGACTATTGTATTGCAATACATGTGAAAGGCAGATGTAGATAAATAAAAAGGAGTTAGTGACTAAAATATTCATTATATAACCACAAAATATCTCCTGAACTGAACACACACCGTCACAGAATAATTAAATAATTCTGGTCCTTTCCTGGCAGTGATTAGCCTGAAAGCTATTTACAAATATAGAAGTGGTGAGCATGCAGAGTTGCAGTTTGTCAGGAATCTGCACTTCAGTGGTCAGAGCGGGAATCTGGCAGGGACAGAGAACATAATTAGGCTATCCTACATAAAACGTCGACCAGCCTGCAGTCTGTCCCTGTGGTGTTTTTACTTTAATGAAGCCTAATGAGAACAGATTCTAAATATGATTTACGGATATTAGATAAACTCTTTTGGACGCATGCCCTCGTCCTAACTGGAACACAGCAGCCAAATAACACACACCCAGACGAGCCTTCTAATAAAACCATATCTTTTTATTATTTTGGCAAAAAGTGTATATGTACAGCGTGTTTAGAGTTGTCATTTGACACCATTAAAATGCATTTGAACAGTGCTTTAGTGATGTGCTCTTAACCAGATCGCTCTGAGTAGCCTAAAAGCTGTGCTGTTGTCTGTCATGCATACATAATCTCTTTGCGTCAAGTTCTCCCACTCCCAGTGTCTCAGTTCTGTAATTGTACGTCCATATACACAACGTTTGAAGCGGTGATAGTGTCAGTGAGCATGTCTGTGTCTATTAAGTCAAGTAATGGCAGACATGCCAACAATCAGAGTTAACGACTAATACTCTAATTCAAGTATCATTCGGTTTCACAGACTACGTTACACCTCTCACTACAATCTTACAAGTTACACACCACAGTCCTAACATCCTACAGTACTCCATTACAGCAAGACTGCCATTGATACATTTCTACAAGTCAGAAATCAATAAGCATCTTCTGGATTGCAGAAAGCTAGTGGTAAACTCAGGGACAATCTCAAATGACAGTTCAATGTTAAATTACATTGACTTAGCATGGTACTTTGCCAGTCGATGACATGACTGTATTTACAGGTGTATAAATGTAGAATACTACTTAAGTGTAAGTGGCGTGAATACAGGTTTCAAAGCAGTCCTATAAGGTGACGGCATCACGAATAAACAGACTAAGACCAGGAACATTAAAGTGCTCCATGCAGGACAGACAAAATGTACACGTGTTACCGTTTTCACAGTTCATCTACAAGGCTTTTTTTGTTATAGCTCAATGGTAGGGGATACAAAACTAGTGTTATTTGTTCAGCTTTTCGCAACGTTGGAATTCAAAAGTGAAATAAAGCCAACAAATATACTAGACAGGGGTGACAATGAAGTAACTTGTATTTTAAAAAAGACATCCCCCCCTCCCCTGCTCTTACATCCTGGATGCTGAAAGTATTATTAAACGAGTATTGTAGTATTCCAGTTACTGCAAAATCACCCCTGTCCTTGTGCTGTATTGCATCAGTACATTCACCAACGTCTATATACACAGATATGACATTTTCAAGCAGGAATATTCTGCACTTCAGTTAAAATTCAACTAAAACTGACATAGTGTAATATTGGTTTTATGTTTTAGACAGCGTAAGGCTTCCATCACCAACATTTATCCAGTCAAAAATATACTTAAGACTATTGTATGTATTCACAAAAGTATATATCTCAATACACACAATAAGCGAATATTGGATGGTCACGTACATTTATCAGCTTTCAGGACGGGAAATACGATACAAACATGCGTGTTTTACGAGTACTTAGAAGTGCCCACAGTAAACGTGACATTTTACATTTACACATCAGCATATCAATCCAGAATAACCAGCTGCAATGAAGGCATATAAGAATATAAATTAACCCAACAAACTCCATATAATATCTATGCTTTATCAAAAATGTGTCAAACATAAAAAAGTCTTGTGTTTTTTCTTTTTTACATGACTTGGATAAATGTAAAGGTATGAGTTATTTTGTTCTGATGGTCACAGCACCAACAGGAGTTTATTGATGCGGAAAAAGAAAAAAAAATCCAAACAATTTCCTTTTTTTGAAATTAATCTATACAGAGTGGTAGTTATCTCCGGTTTTAGGTATTTACAAACTCCTACTGACACACCATCAATGCCTCATGAATGTTTGATCAGGAGTATTTCAAGAATTTTGTTCATTTCTGCCTCGTGCACAGCTTTCATCCTATTGCTCTGGCTACATCCACTTTGACATCCTTCTCCCTGTGTGCCTCTTACTGGTCAACTTCAAATATGTATTGCTTCTTTATTCTTTAACACGCTCTGCACTCCTATCTCACAGCCCTTACCCCCTCACTCTTCTAGGTTATTTCTATTTGCAGGTGAAAAGAGACCGTTTAGGGACTTGCTTTCCTGATGATTACTCTACATCGTCCATCCATGCACACTTTTTTTTTGGCTGTCATTGAACAGTAACACCTTCAAATCTCTTTCTTTACTTTGTATTGTCTGTTTCCTTGATTCCTTACCCCCTCTCCTTCCGTCCTGCCTCATGCCTTCGTCCCAAACGCTCCTCCTCCTCCGCTCTGCATGCTGAAATACTCTGTGAAGGAAGGGAGCCGGGGGGGCAGCGGGGGGGAGCGTGAGGTCTGGCGTGGGGGTATCGGAGGCAGAGGAGGGGGTAATATCGCCGTTAAATCAGCAGCAGTGGTGATGATCTTCTGCTCGCTGTTCCTCGGTACCTCGCCTCCTTTACGGGCCACCGTCTCCTCCACCGTCTTCACCGGCTCCTGGAGGGAAAAGGTGAGGTTTCAAGGCTTTATTGTCATTTGCACATTAGCTGTGTAGATATGGCAATGTCACAGGCTCCTCCAACAGTGCAACATATATACTGTATAGGTCATAGAACAGATACAATAGTTCAAGAGAATGTTCTGACCCTCTGGATGAAGGCTACTGTGTGATGTGGACCTTGCAGACACAATCAGTAACACCATACTAAACTCACATTATGACAGCTTCCTCTAACGACCACCAATGCTGTATAGTAGTTATAAAGGTCAAGGTACGTATATCACACATGTTCTAAACTGTATAAAGCATCTTCCCTTTTGAAGCATTCTCCTCAGCCTTAAAGGAAAAACTGTTCTTATTCTACCGGATCTGGAACCCCTTGATTACCTGGGAGTCTATAAAACACAGAGGATTAAGTCTGGACTGATAGATCTTGTGTAAGTGTATTAAGTATGTATTGATGGCCCACCACTCTCCCTGAGCTGTTTGGTGTTTGTGTGTCTTCATTTTCTTGTATGTATTGATTTCTTAACGTGTTGTCTTTTACAATAAACTATGTTATGCTATTACACTTGTTCTGTTTTCCCTAACCTCCAGTCCCTTACGGCCCGTCCACACTACAGCTTAAAAAAAAGCTTGGAGCTGGGCGTGTCTGAAGCTCGACCAACAACCAATCACATGAATCTCCCGCCCCTGACACACAAGCAGCGGTTTGATTGGCTAGAGCTTGTACTGGCATATGATTTGATTGGCTGACGCTTCCACCGAAAGCTTCAGAAGCTTCAAAAGTTGAACATTGCTCAGCTTTTGCAGCCTGAAACGCCAGGAAAGCTCCGCTCTGCTTCCCACAATGCAGTTCGGCGAAAAGTGACGTCACCCCATTCAAAGTGAATGGGCAGACGCGTTGGAAACCGTTTTTGAAGCTGTCGAAGCTGTAGTGTGGACGGGCCGTTACAAACAGACCCTCTGGTAATTAGTGCCTGGTACTAAAAACCAATATACATTGAATATTATATGACGCCTATGTTTTTATATCCTGGTGGCACCTGGAATATCTTTGACAACCTCCTTGATCCATCTTTTTACGTTCTTAATACATTGCAGTCTCCCAAATGATTTGGACTGTTTAACACGGTCCGTATGTTTACATGTACAGTACATGTGCTGCACTTTATCAATGGCTCATTAGTCACTTTTTAAAAGTTACTAAAACAGTGAGATATATAAAAATACCAAACATTTAGATTTATTTTACCTTTATGAACTTTGCCCACATTTGATAAACCTTTGGCATATTTATTTT